AAAATATAATACAACATAATTAAACAGTGGCGTCGTTAGACGTCGGCGACAAAGAAGTATCTATCTTTAAGGTAGCTCTTCAGTAGTAAATAAAAATCGGCAAGCAATATTCTAGATAGTTTGTAAAGCAATCCTTCGTGCCATACGCTATCGAATGCTTTAGCTACGTCTAAAAACACACCCACAGTGATCTTTTTAGAGTCTATATTCATTGCAATTTTACTAGTCTTCCAATGAATTTGCTGAATAGTGGAATGCTTTTTACGACATCCAAATTGGTGATTGGGCAATAGGTTGTTTTCTTGTATTATTGGTTCCAGTCGGGAGAAAAGAAGATTTTCAAATAGTTTGGATAAGATGGGTAATAAGCTGATCGGTTTGTAAGAGTTGACAATTGAAGCATTTTTGTTTGGTTAAGGTATTGCTACAACCTTCGCTACTGTTCAAACAGAAGGGAAAATCTTATTCCTGATCATGCAGTTAAAGATGTTTCTAATATAAATGATAGCTATTACAGGTAATTCTAGAAGAAATTTACCAGACATCTCATCATAGCCTGGTGATTTTTTTGGGTTGATATTAACGGCGATTTTTGTATTTCAACTTTATTCATTCAAGTTACAGATAAGAATATTTTTTCATTTCTACTTCATAATAATAAACTATTAACAAACACTACTCAGTTAAAATGACAACTGTCAAACTTCATAAATAATGTTGCTAGTGTATAAAATTCATACACAACATTTTTCTCTCCTCTCCACCGGATCATGGTGTGTAACACACTCTAGTTTTCCTTAGTCTTGTGTCGTATAGCGGGAGTTACATTGGTCGTCTCAGGCGTACTCTCAGCTATTGGGTGTGGTGTTGAATAAAACTCCTCATTTCTCGATGTGTTGGGCGTTGTCCACCTCTCAAACTCATTCTCCAATCTCGGACTCCCTTCAGTGGTTGCTTCATTGTTTTCTGGCCTCTTAAACTCATTCTCCAATCCCGGACTCCCTTCAGTGATTATTTCATTGTTCTCTGCTTCAAGCGAGTCCTTTGTCTTGTCACCACTACTCTCGAACGAATATTTTGATTCACGATATTCTTTCGCTGTATTTCTAATGGGTGCACTTGCAGCTCTTCGAATTTGATTTACATGTCTCTTTACTTCCTTTCCATTACAAAGTATTTCGTAGTGAAGATCACCTAAACGTGTATTAATTGTACCTCTGAGCCATTTATGCATTCGCGAATTGCCCGATAAGAAGTATACGCTTTGGCCTGCTGCGAATTCCCTACACCTATTACTAGATTGACACTGCAAGTATTGCTTATCTTTCACCTTCTTTGCAATTTCCTCTGGCCGAATGAGATCTAAGCGTGTTCGCAGATGTCGTCCCAAAAACAACTGAGCTGGCGAAAACCCTGTAGTTGAATGTGGCGTATTCTTGTATTGCCTTAGGAACTCGTTCAAATTTTTTTTTAAATTCTTGCTTGTTGTGCCCATTGCCTTTAGCGCATTTTTTATTGTTTGTACGCTACGCTCCGCCTGACCGTTAGTAGCTGGATGATATGAAGCTGAATATTTATGGTATTTAACACCAACTGTTGTGAGGAAATCGTTTAATTCTACAGAAGTAAAATTTGTTCCATTGTCAGAAACCACCATAAGCGGAACTCCAAGAACAGCAAATACATCGTCCAAAAGCGAAATTGTATCTGCAGCCGTAGTAGATTTTGTGATTTTAACTTCTAACCACTTACTGTAAGCATCAACAATTACTAGTAATATTGCCCCTTCAAATGGCCCTGCATAATCAATATGAATACGTTCCCATCGTCCTTTTGGGTATTCCCAATAATGACTATCGCATTTCACCGACTTATTCGCTTGTCTCGCGCACCCATCACACTCGTTGGCCATATTCTCAATATCTTTGTCTATTCCTGGCCAATATATAAAAGAACGAGCAATGCCCTTCATTTTTACCATTCCTAAGTGCGATGTGTGTAGATTCTCTAGTAATCTTTGTCGATAATGTGGAGGGATAACGACCCGATGTTCGAACGTCAAACACCCTGATGACAACACGTAACTCGCTTCTGGCGATTTGTAACCTTCTCTTTTTAAACAGCGGCCACTTTCCAGTAATCTGATTATCTTGCCGAGATGCTTGTCCTTTCTGGTTTCTATTGCAATACGTTCTGCTTTAACAGGCAACTGATTTATCTGGCAAATCATGAAATTATCGAACTCATCACATTCATCTGAATGAGTCGCTACTATTTGTTGTAATTGATTTATTTGTTGAAGGGAAGCACGTGACAAATAATCGGCATTTGCGTTTGCTTTTGAATTTTTGTATATAACTTCGAAATCGAATCTGCTTAAAAACTCTGCATAGTTAGCCATTCTACTTATACATAGTACTGGAAGCGATTTATTAGGTTGAAGAATCTGTGATAACGGCTTATGATCCGTGATCAATATCCAATGACGAGTATATAAGTATTTGAAAAATTTTTGAACTGCCCACACAATAGCTAGTACCTCTTTATCAATTTGTGTATATCGTTGTTCCGTAACAGTCATCGTTCGACTTGCATAAGCTATTGGCCGATCCACTCCATTTTCTAAACGATGTGACAATACAGCACCTAGACCCGTTCGGCTTGCGTCTGTTGCTAACATTACCGGTAGTGACGGATCGTATGGAATTAATACTTGAGGTGAAGTCAATATTTGTTTTAACTGAGTAAATGCTGCATCTGCCTCTCCCGTCCAGCAAAATTCTTTTGTTTTCAACATGTCCCATAATGGTCGCGCCTTTGTAGCCAAATCCGGAATGAACGCGCCATAGTATGTTGCTTTCCCTAAGAAAAGTTGAAGCTCTTCAACCGTTGATGGTTTGGGCGCATTCAATATTGCTTCGACATGTTTCTGGGATTTATGCACGCCATGTGCATCAATTCGATGACCAAGAAACTCCACAGATGTTGTGGCGAATACACACTTCGACTTAATTGTGACCGAAAAGTTTTCGGAAATTCTCATTTAAAATTCGCGCGCTGTATATTTTTCGATATTTTAAGTTTATGTAGTTTGGCAGCACTGTCCTTAATTACTATGCCAAAAATGAGCGCGATCTGTCAGACAGTTCGTTTACGGCAGCTGTTGAAACCAGTTCACCTCAGTAGTGCGTTGCGAAAAAAACAATGGAAAAAAATATTGAACAAAGAGTTTGCATCAAATTTTGTTTTTCGAACGAAATTTCGTGTGCAGAATCGTTGCGAATGCTACAAAAGGCTTATGGGGAATCAGTTTTATCGAAAACTCAAGTTTATGAGTGGTACAAAGCCTTTCAGGACGGTCGTACGACCGTCGAAGACATGCCGCGTTTTGGACGACCTTCGACCTCTACCACCGACGAAAACATTGAAAAGGCAAAGGAAATCGTGTTCCAAAATCCTCATGTGAGTGTTAGAGAGATAGCACGAGAGCTAGGCATCGGTCGTGAGATGGCTCGTTTGATTTTGGTGGACAATTTGTGTATGCGACGTGTCAACGCCCGGCTTGTTCCGATTCACCTCAATTTGTTCAACATTATCAACGATTTTAAGGCCAAACATTCAATAAATACCATCGAACAGCCACCGTATTCACCTGATCTTGCACCGTGTGACTTTTTCCTGTTTCCCAACCTCAAATTACCACTCAGAGGAACGCGTTTTGAATCCATAGAAGACGTAAAACAGAATTCGCAGAGGGAACTCAAAGCCATACCGGAAAGCGCCTATAAAAATGTTTTATGATTGGAAGAAACGTTGGCATTTGTGTATCGCTTCTAATGGAGCATATTTTGAAGGAGATAAAATAAATATTGATGAAGATTAAGAATTTTGCGTTTTATTTAAAATTTCCCGAAAACTTTTCGGTCACAATGTATTCAGACGCAGCCCACTTAACTTAATACGGCTTAGAATGATTTCTAACACTTGTAACAATTCATCAAAATTTTTAGCATATACTAAGATATCGTCGAAAAAATTTAACACATTCGTCATACCATGTAGTACTGTCTCCATTCTCCTCTGCCATATCGCTGGTATATTTGCTGCTCCATAAACTGCACGTGTTGGACGTACTAACCCATGCGTGATTGTGTTTAGAGTTAATACATGTGCAAATTCTTCGTCAACTGTAAGATGGGTGTATGCATCTGTTATATCAAGATGACAAAAAATTGTAGCATTTTTCATTTTATTAAATAAATCTTCCGCTTTCGGAATTGGATGTTCATCAATTATCATTTGCGGATCAACTGTTGGTTTGTAATTACCTGTAATGCGAATACCACCGTTTTTCTTTGCAACAATATGCGTAGTCGAAGCCCATTTCGAATGATCTACTCTCTTGTAATACCCCAATTGAATCTTTCGATCAATTTCTTTGCCGTAAGCATCTTTTAATGCCATTGGAACTTTGCGAGGTCGTGCGAACACTGAAGTAGCTCCCTTTTTTAGATGCACTTTAGCAGGTGGACCACTAAGCTTCCCAGCCGTTTCACTAAATACGTTCTTAAACCTCTCGATCAGTTGTTGGAGCCGCTCTCGCTGGTTTGTAGACAGTTCTCGCTCTAAAGAGTTTATTGAATTAATATGGTTGGACGAAGAAAAAAATTCAGAAAAGTTAATCTCTCTCGCAAATTGTGATATCCATCCCCTGCCGCAAAGTATATCACAATCTCCTTCCACGACATACAGACTTAACCGTCGTACTATTTTACCCATTGGCGCTGATACTACAATCCGTCCTACGCAATTAACCTTATGACCCGTGTAGTTTGTGAATCGCCTATCACTTTTAAGCAACTTAAAATTCGGTCTTATCGATCGAAGGGTTTTGTAACTAATTACCGCGCATGGAGCGCCGGTGTCTAATTTTTTGCTAATTCAGTAGGTGGATAAACTGAGATTACCCACCATGCGAGTTACATTCTCATACCTCTTGCATACCTTAGTATGCATTTTATTTATGTTTGTATAGACATGCATATTTTCATAAATATCGTATTAACGCGAATATGCATGTTGATATAAATATTAAGCTGTCTACTATAGCGTTATCTAGGTAATGCTATTGCAAAGACAGCAAGCATCAAATTCGGTACCCAGGTGCAAAAATCTGCTGAGTTAGATATTTTGCATTTCAGCAAAATATTTCTTAAATATGAGTTTAAGAAATATTTTTAATTCAGTCTTAAGATTCAATTCAATAAAGAAACATATAACTTAAATTTTGTGTCTTTATTAAACATAATTGGCGCAGTCGACGGTGATTTGTCTCAAGACAAAAAGAGAACCTTAAAAAAAAAAAAATCATCAAATCGGTAATAAAGTGCAAAGATTATCTATATCTAAAAAGTTAACTTTAATAAAAAGTTTTAAAAAATAAACGCTAATAAACTGCAACAACTATTTATATACAGAACTTTATTAAAAAGCAAATTCTTAAAAAAAAAAAAAAAGAAGTGCAACGACTATTTATATCAAAAAAGTTTTGAATGCGGAGAGTAAAAGCATTCGACTTAAATCGACCAATCATGAGCAACGAAATGGAGCAATTGCAGCAAAGACTTCAGGAAATGGAAGAAGTTATAAGGAGGCAAGAAGCTAAAATTCTGCTCCACGAACAAGTACAACAAGTTCAACAAGTGCAACAACAGCAAATACAACAGCAAGTTCAACAAGTACAGCAACAACAAATACAACAGCAAGTTCAGCAAGTACAACAACAGCAAATACAGCAAAATATGCAGCAACATCAAGGGCTTCTAGCACCAAAAGATATTTTGACGCAATTCCGCCAAATTAAATGCCTCAACAAGGATCATGATGCCATTGCTTTTATAGCATCAGTAGAAGCTGTCATGGAACTATGCCCACCAGAAAACCATCAATTAACGAAGCTAGCAATGACCATTATAATCAACGAGAAGATAACAGGTGATGCCGGCAACTATATTCGAGGACTTGGACCAAATACAACCTGGGACCAAGTTAAAATGAAGCTAATGGACTATTACCGACCGAGGGCAACATATGGTGATATTTACAATAAATGTCGCAATATAAAAGTAAGTAATTTAAGAGATTTATTTTCTTATTTTGAAATGGCGAGGTCAAAACTTAATAAAATATATACATTCGATGATAATAAGCCAGACATTTATAAGCCAAGTAGAGTAGATAGGGACTTAGTAAACATTTTAATTGACAAAATTGACATACCCTTAAGAACATATATTGATCAAAACAGTACACTTAACGATGTTATTAGGAAGTATACGCAAATTAAAGCGCTAGACGATCCACGAACAATTCACTTTAATTATAGACTGAAAAGACCATTACAGTCACAATACTATAATAAACGAAGTAATCAGACACCATCTGCACCCAATAATCAATATAATTACAGCAGTAATTTCAGGCGAAATAATCAGAATGATAATTCAACACAGTCAAACCAAAATAGTAAGTTCAATAATTCAATTCAGACTAGAAACTCACATATGAGTGTTGATACCCAAAATACTAGACGTAGCCAAATTAATAAAAGAACTGATTTTCAGCCAATGGATATTGGTAATGTAGAGGAGGATGTAAATTTTTTCAACCTGCCTCGATCTGCAGATTGCCCATAATAACAATAACAATTGGTAGCAAAGAAATTAGATGTCTCATTGATACCGGTTCTGACACTAGTTTAATTAAACCAAATATTCTCAAAGATCATTTCACTGAACAGAAACTCCCAACACCCATTTGTTACCGAACAATAAATGGAATTAATCAGGTGACACATAAAATAATAACTTCTATACCTAGAGAGTTTAACGTCTCAGGTACCTTCCATTGGAAGGTAATTGACTTCAGTAGTAAAAATTATGATGCCATAATAGGACAAAATTTTCTCATCCCTCATCAATCTTAGATGAAGAGAATAAATTTGTCAACATATTAGGCAATATTATACACTTTAAAATTTTTAGCCCCTATAAAAATCAGGAAATATGTACACTTGAATTCAGCGACATAGAAAATTTAGATTTGAGACATTTAAATTCTGAAGAAAACCAATTATTAAAAAAATTATTACAGGACTTTAGCGAACTATTTTTCAAAGAGGGGGATAAACTCTCTTTTACCCACGAAATTAAGCACGAAATTGTTACTACAAGTGATCGACCTATTTATTCAAAAATATACAGATATCCACAAACTCATGAATTAGAAATTCAAAGGCAGATAAAAGAAATGTTGAAGCATAATATAATTAAAGAAAGCAATTCTGCTTATAATAGTCCCTTGTGGGTAGTCCCAAAAAAAGTGGACAAATCTGGTTCTCAAAAATGGCGGATCGTAATTGATTACAGAAAACTGAATGAAGTTACTGTAAATGACAAATTTCCAATTCCTAATATAGATGGAATTTTAGATAAGTTAGGTAAAGCTCAATATTTTTCGTCTATAGACCTTGCCAAAGGCTTTCATCAAATTTTGATGCATGACAACGATAGGAAGAAAACCGCATTTTCGACCCCGTTAGGTCATTATGAATTTTTGCGGATGCCTTTTGGGCTCAAAAATGCCCCATCCACCTTTCAACGACTTATGAATTCTGTGCTTCGAGAATTTATAAATAAAATTTGCGTCGTTTATTTAGACGATGTATTAATTTTTAGTACTTCCTTGTCTGAACATATGGAGAACATGAAAAAAATTTTTCTAAAACTAAAAGAAGCAAAGCTAAAGATCCGATTAGAAAAGTGTAGTTTCCTAAAAAAAGAAACCGATTTTTTGGGGCATATTCTTACATCTGAGGGCATAAAGCCCAACCCAAATAAAATTGAAGTGATACAAAAATTGAAGCTGCCTACTACACAAAAACAAATTAAATCCTTTTTAGGAATTACTGGCTTCTATAGAAAATTTATAAAGGACTATTCTAAAATAGCCTATCCAATGGTTGCATATTTGAAAAAGAATGCAAAGGTTAATTTAAATGATCCAAATTATATTATTTCATTTGAAAAACTAAAAGATATCATAACAAATCATCCCATTTTAAAATATCCTTTATTCAATAAACGTTTTAAACTCATCACTGATGCCAGCAATTTTGCAATCGGCGCAGTTTTGACTCAAGAGGGTCACCCAATTTCGTTTGCTTCGCGAACATTAAATGACCATGAAAAAAATTACTCCACTATTGAAAAAGAATTATTAGCAATAGTGTGGGGAGTAAAGTACTATAGACCTTATATTTTTGGGAGAGAGTTTGATCTGCAAACAGATCATCAGCCATTTAAGTGGTTACAAGTAAAAAATTCTGGTAAGGATATTAGTCCTAGACTGCAACGATGGTTAGTGCAGGTGGGAGAGTACGATGCCAAAATCGATTACATTACCGGAAAAGAAAATAAAATAGCCGATTTTCTTAGTCGAATTAATTGCGATGAAATAAATATGTTAGATTCCGAAAATTTGGGATTCACCTTGGATGAAATGTTAAGAATCAAAAATTTAAGCGCCGAAAATCAACAAAACCAAACATCAGTTTCCTTGGAAGTACAAGCTAATAACTCCCAAGATAATAACACGAACTTAGAAGAAAATGATAATAACCATAATGTATCAGTTGAAGGCGAAACTATTCATTCTCAGGTAGAAAATTTTAATGACCATTTTAAAATTCTTGATACCATTGTAAACCGTTTTAGGAAACAAATAATCTTAGTAAAAACCAAGACAGTTGAAGTAATCAATATTTTCAAAAACAAACGAGTTTTTATCGATAAACGGGATATTATCTCTGAAAATGTTATTAATATAGTACGAAGACATTTTGATAATGCCAAAGTCGCAATATACTCTGAACTTAATCATCATGAGTATAATAAGTTACAACAAATTTTATTAAGTACATATTCAAATAATCAGAAAATGTCCTTTGTGAAGTGTAGCTATTTTGCCAAAGATATACAGGAAGATCATGAACTAAAGAAACAGATAGCATTTTTTCACAAATATGAAGTAGGACACTCGGGAATTATTCCAACTTATGAGGGAATGAAGCATAAGGTTTACCATCCACAACTGAAAATTAGAATTCATGAGATAATCAATAATTGTGATATTTGCAATGGAGGGAAATATGACCGAAATCCTATTAAATCAAAATTTCTATTCACCCAAACACCCACAATTGTAAATGAAATTGTTCATATAGATACTTACGTTAACAGTAAGCAATCTTTTATAATTTTTATTGACAAATTCTCAAAACATGCAATCTTTTTCAATTTACCTGACAGAAATAGTCGAACGATTGTAGAAAAAATAAATAAATTTTTAGCCATAAAAGGGCATACAAAAACATTTATTTTTGATAATGAGTTTAATTCCAGAAA